CAAGCAGGGCCCCCTCCCCGAGAAGTGCTGACACGCTCCTCCCCAAGCCAGGCAGGGGCACACAGGGGCTTACAAGGGGTTTCATCAGCTGAGTATCTGGGCAGTGCTGGCTGGGGCCACAGGCCGTTTATAGCCCCCTGACGCACCACCCGCTGACCTATCTCAGGAGACCAGGTTGCCTGGCTCTTCACCTGGTCCTGCCTCTGCCATCAAGGGGCTCTGCTTATCAGCCCTCATTATTGGCCATATTTAACTTGGACTGAGCTGAATCCAAGTGAGCGGGTACAATGAGCCATGTTTGAAAATCCTGTTTTTCTGGAACCAGGGACATTTCCACAGTCACCTGTGATGATACTGGGCTGGCCAGGCTCACAGAAGGTACTTTCAGTGATACTGATACAGACTGTGGCTCTGATGCAGGTGCCAGGGACAATGTGGTAGAGTAGAATGAATTCCAGCCTCTCCACTTCTAGCTCTGTAACCTTGGGCAAGTAATGTAACTGTTTTGGGCCTGTTTTCTCATCTGTTTTTTTTTTTTTTTTTTTTTTTTTTCTTTTAATGTGTGAGAATGAAATCACCAGAAAGATGACTAGCATGTTCATCTTTAGGTGGCATCTAATAGGTGATCCAAAAAAGTTAGTTAGCTTCCTCTGATAATCTTGAGACCAAGGGGTTCTGGCGAGTGAGCGCTTCCCCTGCAGCTCTGTGTCCCACAGGACCACTGCCTCCATCTTCAGGCTGTTCCCCTCTCCCCTTCCCTGCGACCCAACACTCCATCTGCCACAATCAGAACTCCAGTACCTGTCATCTTTAGAACCACCCACCCTGCCCCAATAGCAGCTGGTCCTTGACAGGAGTGGCAGCGGGTGACTGCTCTACCTTTTGGCCTGGGAAGGGAAACCAGAGAAGGCCGGGCTGCAGGGAGCTCACAGAAAGGAGGCAGTTACGCAGAGGGCAGCATTAGGGAGAGACCGAGACTCCTAAAGGTGCTTTGAGTCCCTGGTTCTAGCGCACCTAGGCCCAGGTACATGCCTTCCTGGGGCTTCCAAGGAATACTCCTCCAGATTTGAGATCAACTCCTCCTGTCTTTTCTTTTTTTTCCTGGCATAAATGTAGGGGGTACAAATGCAGTTCTGATACATGGATATATTGCCTAGTGTGAAGTCTGGGCTTCTAGTGTAATATCACCCAAATAGTGTCAGTTGTATACATTAAGTAATTTCTCGTCCCCCTGCCCCTGCTTCCAAGTCTCCATGTCTGTCAGTTCGCATGCCACGTCCCTGTGTACACATTATATAACTCCATTTATAAGTGAGAACATCCTACTGCCTTTTTAAAGCTAGCTCAAGTGAATGTTTCACATTCAACAAAAAAGACTCCGCTTTAATATACCTGAGTAACAGTGTATCATTAAGACAAGGAGATAGAAAGCTCAAACCAAATGAAGAGAATGGGATTCTAAAATCAACAGAGGGCGGGGCGCAGTGGCTCATGCCTGTAATCTCAGCACTTAGGGAGGCTGAGGCAGGCGGATCACTTGAGGATTTTGAGACCACCCTGGGCAACATGGCAAGACCCCATCTCTCTCTCTCTCTCTCTTTTTTTTCCTATGATGGAATAGGATTTTTTTTTTTTTTTTTTTAAGATGGAGTCTTGCCCTGTTGCCCAGGCTGGAGTACAGTGGCATGATCTTGGCTGACTGCAGTCTCTGCCTCCCAGGTTCAAGCAATTCCCCTGCCTCCCCTCCCAAGTAGCTGGGACTACAGGTGTGCACCACCTTACCTGGTTTTTTTTGTTTGTTTGTTTGTTTTGTTTTGTTTTTTTTTTATTTTAATAGAGACGGGGTTTCACCATGTTGGTCAGGATGGTCTCAATTTCCTGACCTCATGATCTGCCCGTCTTGGCCTCCCAAAGTGCTGGTATTACAGGTGTGAGCTGCCACACCTGGCTGCAAAACCCCATCTCTACAAAAAATACAAAAATTAGCTGGGCGTGGTGGTGAGCACCTGTAGTCCCAGCTACTCTGGAAGCTGAGATGGGGGGATGGCTTGAGCCTGGAAGGTGGAGGTTGCAGTGAGCCGAGATTGCACCACCGTACTCCAGTCTGGCAACAGAGCCAGACCCTGTCTAAATAAATAAATAAATAAAAAGAATGAACAGAGAAGGACATGTCCTAAAGGGACAGGTTTTATATTCTTAGCAAAATGGTTGGAAAAGCAGGCCCACATTCCTGTCACTAGATGGGCTCTAGGTTCAGGCCCCCTACCTGGGGACCACCCTACTAGAACCTGACCTCTGTCCTGGCTTGTAATTCCAGGTTAAATCAGTGATCTTTGGTGTCTTAGTCCATTTGGGCTACATTAACAAAATACTAGAGACCAGGTGGGTTATAAACAACAGGAATTTATTTCCCACAATTCTGGAGGCTGGGAAGCCCAAGATCAAGATGCCTGCAGATTCCATGTCTGGCAAGGGCCTACTTCCTCACAGATGGCCTTGTCTTCCTGTAACCTCACATGGCAGAAGGGGTGAGGGATCTCTCTGAAGTCTTTTTAATAAGGACACTGATCCCACTCCTGAGGGCTCTGCTCTCATTACCTAATCACCTCCCAAAGCCCCCCTTCTAATATCATCACCTGAGGCGTTAGAATTTCAACATATGGATTTTCAGGGTAGGGGATAGACACAAACATGCGGACCATAGCATTTGGCTATAAGTCATCTTCTAGTCCTTTCCACCACCCATGTTCTTCAGTCAACTGGTGGCGGCAGTAATGTGGGTAAATAGCAGTTTCACTACACTCCAAAGCAAGTGGCCAGCTGCACCAGGTCAGTTGTGAAAGAATTTCTTTAGGTTACAAGTGAGAACATACAATCTAATATAATTGACTAGGTAGGTGCTTCTCAAATCTTACTGTGCATATGAATCAACTGGGCATCTCATTAGAAATGCAGATTCTGCATCAATAGGTCTATGTTGGGGCCTGAGATCTGGCTTTCTAATAAGCTCCCAGGTGATGCCGATGCTGCTGATCCATGGGTCACATGGAGTAGCAAGGAGCTAGACCAGCCTGGGTCAGAACTGTCTTCAAAGAGGAGTCATTTAGAGCAGGGGTCCACAACCCCCAGGCCATGGACAGATACTGCGAGGGATCTAGGTTGCATGCTCCTCATAAGAATCTGGCTAATACCTGATGCTCTGAGGTGGGGCAGTTTCATCCCGAAACTATCCCTATCCACCCTCCATCCGTGGAAAAATGTCTTCCATGTAACTGGTCCCTGGTGCGAAAAAGGTTGGGGACCACTGTCTTAGACAAAGGCAAGAGGCACGTGGCACTGTCCTCAATTTGCCTAGTTGCAGTCACGTTTCTAGGAGGCTAGTCAAAATTTCAGCACTGGCCCCAGGTCTGCGGAAATGGACTCTCAATTCAGCCATGTCACTGCTCTGGGCTGAATACAACGTGAAAAATCTCCTAATTTTAAATGTCTTTGCTACTCCCCCTAGAGTAGAGAAGTCGTTCCTTCTCTAGTAAGAGCTAGAGAAGGAACGACTTCATTTAGCTTGGCAGTGGTACCACGTACGTGCTCTGTACATGTGTTTGGATGTTTAGTGGAATGGAACAAAGTCCTTTCAGGTGAGGGGGAGGAAGAAAGAGGCCAGTAGTCATGGGGGTCATGCTTTCCCACTATGGCTTAAGAATATGCTTGGGGCTGGCTGGTTGTTGTGCCTCACACTTGTAATCCCAGCACTTTGGCAGGCCGGGGCAGGAGGATCGCTTGAGCCCAGGAGTTTGAGACCAGCCTAGATAAAATGGTGAAACCCTGTCTTTACAATAAATACAAAAACTAGCTGGGCACGGTGGTGCATGCCTGTGGTCCCAGCTACTTGGGAGGCTGAGGTGGGAGGTGCTTGAGCTCAGGAGGTGGAGGTTGCCGTGAGCCGAGATGGTGCCACTGCACTCCAGCCTGGGTGACAGAGTGAGATTCTGTCTAAAAAAAAAAAAAAAAAAAAAAAAAAAAAAAAAAAAAAAGAGAGAGAGAGAGAGATAAAGGAAAAAACAAGAAAGAAAGAAAAAAGAATACACAGGGTCTTCTTTCATATGGAAAGATTCATGATGAGAACATCCAATCACAAAGTTTCCACAGGAATGAAGGTAAACAGGGACACACGTTAACTACCCTCATCATTCTACTTGGCCCAGTTAGATCCATCTCAGGCCTCTGTCCTGCTCTGAGCTCCAGGAGGCTGAGCTTGAAAGATTATATTACCTGAGCACCTCTGCTCTTTGTCTTCCCATTGGGTTCAGCAGATGAGAGGTACCTGCAGAAAACGGGCAGGTGGGAAAAGGTAGGGGAACACACAAAAATCCCAGTTAATCATGGCTTTGGCAGGGGCTGCACCCTCTGTGGCTGCCACGCCTGCCTGGGGCCCATTTTTAGAGCTCCAGCTCCTGCTTCCTTCCTGCTTCAGCCTGGGATGCTAACAGCTTTACGCTGTTGCTAGTGCCTGCTACTTCACTACTTTTTGTTGCTTCTCCTAACCCTGCCTTTTGTACATAGTCCCTTCATTAAACTCTCTTCATGTAAAGCTTTGAGTGTGCTACCTGTTTACTGCCAGGACCCTGATGATTAAAGTCATCTCTGAGGGTGAATCCCTTGAGAAGTCACAAAGGCTAAGCCAGGAAGGCACAAGTATGGATCTTCTTAGGGCAGCCTTCTCATGTAGATAGGCGTCGGCACAGAGTCGAAGGGGAGGTCCTCCCCAGCCCCCGTTCATTCTATTTCTCCATGCTCAGGCAAGTACTTCAGGATGGGGGTAAGAAGCATAGACCAACCCTCTGTGAGTCAGCTGACAGCACAAGGGGCTAGCCTCATTTCTGCAGTCATCTGCAAGGTAACAAGCCATATTTAGGAGTCTAATGTGAGGTACTTGGTTAAAAGGGAACAGCTCTGTTCTGGTTGTGTTGTGAGGCATTTAGCAAATAAAAAGCCACAGTCTGTGTAATTCAGTTGATATTTAATTACAAGGAACTCAGGTTCTTATACAAGGCAGGAGATGGGAGTTAGCACTCCCCACAAGACTTTCCAGCCTAGGTGACTGAGGCTGAGGAGATGGGGACACATGGAACATACGGGGAGGGTTCTGGCACAGTGTGTCCTGCCCAAAGCTGAGGGTGGTGGCCACTGGGGATCTGCCCTCGCGCTGGCCAAGGTCTGCCATCACTCCATGAGGCAGAACTCTGACTCCTGCTGTCGCATGTTGGGTAACACATACAGAGCCACAGCTGCAATAGCCAAGAATACCATAGGCTTCCACAACCCAAACATGTTCTGTGGGGACCAAAGAGAAACTGTGAGTGCCCAGCCTCCTGAACCCTGCCCTAAGCCAGAAATCACCTGCTTATGGGTGCCTGAGACACCTCAGGAACTTTGTGGATCAGTCTCTCTTACCTCCTGGGTAACCGGTGGAGATAGGTGCTCTCTCAGTCCTGGCACCACTAGACATGTGGCCCAACACTGTACGTACCACCTTAGGTGGCTGCCTGTATCCAGGCCTCCGTTTCTCCCCATGGGCTGAGAACACTAGCTCCCAGGAGAAGCAGGCCCAGGGGCCAGACTTCCCAGTGGTTGCAATGAGAAAGGACCAGATGCCATGGCAAGACAAAGGAGGGTAAATCTGGGCCTTTGGGAAAAGCAGCAGCACCTCATTAGCTTCACTGTAGTGAACTCAGAGTCAAGAGGATGGGGAAGGGCGGATAAGACAGAGGGAGAAATGAAGAACGCGCGCCACGGAGTGCAGGTCAGTAAGAGGCTCTTAGGCAGACAGACTTTGACGGAGAATGACATTGGTTCAAGGAAATCTAAGGAAACCTGTCACTGGGCCTGGGTCATTAAAATAGTCCCAGTTAGCAGATAGGTTGACTGACTTCCTGGTGAATTTGCTAGAGTGTGCTGAGGCTTCCAGACACTGCTGGCCACTAGTGAACCCTGCTGATTCATGGGACAAGTGACACCATCAGAAAATATCCAAAAGGCATTCATTGGGGAATATGAAAATCTTAGAAAAGAAAATACATACTTGGGAAATAGGTTTTATTTTTATAACTGTACTACCTGAAAGGTAGAATTTGGATTGAGTCATAAGCTGTGGCATCAGGTAACAGAAGGATGGTTTTGAGTAAAAATGGACTATAGCCCATTAATGCTAAGAACACATGTGCTCAGATGGTAACTGATCTTAAAATAAGAGGATTTTAAGCCTGCTATAAAGAACAAAGAAAATCTCCTGAGCTTGTAGAAATAGCTACTAAGAACAACAGAAGATATGAAATGGAAAGCCAAACAGTGCTAGAGGTGGATACACAGAGTAACTCATGTAAGAAAACCAAGAGGTCCAGAGGCTGAGGCAGAGGATCGCTTGAGACCAGGAGTTCAAAGTTACAGTGAGCCATGTTCACGGCACTGCATTCCAGCCTGGGTGACAGAGCGAGACCCTGTCTCTAAAACCAAAAACAAAAACTAAGAAGGGAGCTAGCTAGGAAAAAATATTTACAAGCTCAGATGTTTCTCTCCTAATGTGCATTGCTAAGAATGTTAGTCTGTTCTGAAAGGAGTGGGGAGCTGAAATCCTTCAATGTGAAGGGTGCACTTCACACTGGGCAGAGGCAAGCTTCTACACGGGATGGGGAAAGGGCTGGTGTGGGTGTCCCAAAGGGGTAAGTTGTGTCAAACTTTCCTTTTAAACTAGTTGACCGAAGTAACAAATCCCTAGAATCATGTTTTTGGACGTGAGTTGTCTGATAGGATTTTCTGTGTTATCTTTGCAGATAATACGCAGAAATAAGGGTAGCACGACAGCACAGGTTGTGGTATGACAGGTAAGTGACCAATGAGCTGAATAAAAGAACCCTGAGAGACAACACTCCAGAGGCTCTGTCCTCACTTGCTACTAGATGAAGACAGGGAAGGCGGGCTTGCCACCCCTGTAGATGACGTGAAGGTGGCAGAGACAATGAGTATTTTAAAACCACAGGGTCAAGATTAAAAACACACACACAAAACCTCATAAGGTAAGAACAATAAACTATAATGGTGAAGAATAGAAAATTCTGCCTTTGAAGCCTCAAAATCAAATGCAGGTACAGAATGGGGAGAGGATGCTCAGCATACACCATCTGCAGAGGGGCTTGTAAATAACACATGAAATAAGTTAATAATATATTAGTTACCCAAAGAGTTAAGGTGACCTGACGTTGCCTAAACAGAAGAATGGTGTCTTCCTACTTGGGACCAAGGAAGGGAAACTGCTCAAATCAAGGAGAGACGATAAGGGGAAGCAAGACTGGAGTCTTATCTGTGGCTAATATTGAGTCCTTATAATCTGATTTGCAGCTTCCTTGCTGTTTTACTTAACCTCTCTATGCATTAGTTTAATCATTATAAAAGAATAATAGGAATAGCTTCTTCACAGGGTAGTTGCAAGGATCAAATCAGTTAATATATGTAAAGTTATTAGAACAGTACCTGACACATAAAATGCATTTTGTAAGTGTGTGCTCTTTTAATTATTGATGTGGTATTTTATAATTTATAGAATACTTTCCTCTACTTTAACTCGTCTGGTCCTGACAAAAACCTATGAGGCAGGCAGAGGTTTGATCATCCTTTGCTTACATTTGAAGAAACTAGAGTTCAGAGAGTACATTTTACTCTCTGGGACAATGCCTGTCAGTAGGTACAGACTGGACCAAGTTCTTCCGACCACCTGGCAGCCACGTTTGCTACCACACTGTGCTCCCTCAGGTCTTGGCTGCACAGATGCATGTCGAGGCCCCTGGAGCTCTGGGGATAACAGGCCCCACCGGGAGAACCCTTCACCCGCAGTTCTTCCTCTCCCTCTGGTTGGGCTGGGCTTAGTCTGCCATGGTGGAAGGCTGTGGCTGAATGCTTTGGGTCTCGCCTGTAGGGCCTTAAGACTTCTGGGAGTGCACAGGGAAGGAATAGTCATAGAGAGGGACCCCGTCACTAAAGCAGTTCTGGCCCAGGGAGTAAAGGGAATACCTAAAGTCAAGAAGAAAGGCGGAGGCTTGAAGATGAGTAACAGAAAATCTGGGGAGGGAGCAGGAGGAAGCACAGAAAAAGAAATGGGAGAGAAGTGCTACCAACAAATGCTCCAGCTGCCACCCTGCCCGTCAAGCCTGCTACACTCCATTCACAGGAATGTGAGAAGAGAGGGGAGTGGAGGGGATGGCAGGGAGGGCATGAGGGAGGAGCCAACGCAGGACTACAAAGAACACCTTATGGGTTCCAGAAGGCAAGTGGAACCCCAGTTCTACCTTAGGCCATAGGAGCACGTTCTGCCTCCTGAAGTTGGTATCCTGTTGACAGTCTACATGTGTGAGGGCCAACTGGAAAGTGGCTAGAATATATCAGTCTTGATTTCCTCAGAACACACATCTTTGGCTAGCAGAAACTTTTCACTAATACCACGTTCTCTCCAGACCTAGCTTGGGAAGCCAATTACCATGGAATCTGGCCCACAAAAGAAATAAACAGAGAACTAATAAAATATTTCCCGGCATTCTGTTCTGACTTTTCTGGAGACTGGAAGTCCAGAAGCAGAAAACCATTCAGTAGAAGGTGCAGAGTAACACAGTAGGGGTTCAGTTCCATTTCACCAAGGTTGAAGGACCAACTTAGGTTGCCCTCCTACCAATGCCCCTGGGAGGATCATGAGGATCATAGCTCTTCGGACCTCTTCTCTTCCCAACAGAAGAGGGATTCCTTATTTTGCCATCCTGGGTAGCAACAGTAGTGAGAACTTGGCTCTGGGGTTAAACAAAGACAAAGAGAGCCCAGGCCAGCCTGGCAGACAAATACCAGCTCATCAGAAGTGGTCAGGCTTGCCATCACACAGAGGATGAGGGGGAAAAAGAAGTAGTGAGGCAGCTTTGACAGTGGCAACCATGCTGGGCTTATCCAAGTTTTTCCCAGCCAACGACTGAAACTCAAACCATGTCTCTGGCAAACATTCCAACCTCCTATGCATTATGAAGACATGCTCCAAGATGTCACAGGCTTTGCAGTAGCCCAAGGAAAAGTCAGAACTAAAACTCAGACTTGAGCATCACCTATTGTAAAATGGCACAAGCAAGAAGCGAGCAGCTGGGAGAAAAGGGAAAGAGGAGAGGCCAGGGCAACCTGCACCCTCCCTCTATCCCTCAGAAGGACAGGAAGCAATACCAGTACCTGCATTAGGACGACGTCTCAGCCCACCAGCACCAGAGCAAAGCCGAGATGACCACCAGGCCTACAAGAGGCAAGGAGAAGATGGGGGGATCGGGGGTAGGGGATGACTGCAACACACCGAAATGAGAAAGAAGCACGAGGAGAGACCAGGAGATGTGAGACATAAACGCATGGATCCAACAGATAATGAAGATGAGAAAACAAAGGGAAAAGAGAAAGGAATCAAGAGGTTAAAAAACAGGTAAGCTAGAGCAGTTGCATGTCTTTTCTGCTGCCTGGGCCTTGGTTCTTTCCACCAGCAGTCTGCAGGAATTGCAAAATTGAATGGGTTAAGCAGCAGCTAGGTCCAAGTCAGGTGGCGAGTCCAGTTTTCTTTCTGTCTTGTCATAGACCTCTCATATCTTGTCAGGCACGCGGTATCTGCACCTAGACCCTTCTTGTGACGCTGCAGAGAGTAAACAGCTTCCTTAGAGGGGTAGGGCAGATGCTTTTCCTAGGTCACCCTAGGAAGAGCCAGTCTTCTACCAGGCCACCTGTCCCTTTGTTGTAGCCTGCTTTCCATCAAGTTTCTTAGTATTTTGGGCTCTGGTCCCTTGGATCCCCTAGGAATCTAATGATAATCACTGTAAGACAAAATGCACTGAAACAAACTGACAAGGGGGAAGGGCTAGTTCTTTCACTGCAACAGTCTTCTAGACAGAAACTGGATTTGCAAGGTGGTAACACACATGCCCTACAGCTGCCTGCAAAAGATGCAGGACCAGGGGGCAAAGGGATCTCTCCATATGTAGAAACATAGAATGTATTTGAAGTAGAAAAATCAGGTCTAGCTTCAGAAATGTGGCACCCGAGGTAAAGACATCTGTGAGGCCTGAACCAGCGCTGGTAGAATATGATGAGTTGAAGGAAACATGATAATGGGAGGGGCTGCAGTGCCTCTGACTTTTCACACCTGAGGTAACGGTCCCTAGCACAAGGTAAACAGAGCACTACACACTGGATCCTTAGCGAGTGCTGAAGACCGAATTGCTGGAAATTCCAGATATCCTTAGAGCTGACTGGATAATCCTACCTCAAGAGGCTTTTTTCTTTACCTCTGTTTGGGACAGAAAGAACCTATAATGTAAGCTGAGGACCTACACAGGAAATACTTAAAGGTTCTGAGCCCCCAGTTAAGCCCAGGGCAAGAATTCAGTTGCTACATACCTGCAGAAACGTACCAGTTACCAAAATATGGAAGTACTTCTATGCTACTGGTAAGTTACCCATAGCATCCTGGCATATATATCCCCGGATACCTCCACCCCAGCCTCTCAACGATCCAGCAACTGAAGGGATGGTCTCCTTGGACTAGTCTATGCCCCTACTGTACAGATGTGAAATATTTTCACTATCACTCCCAGGCCCCCCTTTCATATCCTGTGATATATAGAATCCAGGGGGTGACATGAACAAAGAGGAGATTATCCCCTGACACACCCCTAACAGCAACAACAAAGGTTAAAGCTAACAGGGCACCATAGAAAAACTGAGTGATGTGCCCAGGCCAACAGAAATGGCCTGAAGTAGACTTCACACTGTCAACGTCCTTCCTGCAGTGCCGAAGAGAGGGATGAGAGCACAGTCTTGACATGAGGAAAGCAACAAAGGCTACTATGTAAATGAAAGGACTCCAGAGACCCCACGTTGGTTCCCAGAAAAGGCAGTCACTGTAAGCTGGGTCCACAGCAAATGGGGCTGACCCCGTGACTTCCTGCAGACAGACTGCTCTCGCCTCCCCCTTCTGCATCTCCACCTCCCCGAGGGGCTATGCCTTAGAGCGCAAGGCCCCCACTCCTGGAGTGATCCATCCTTGGCAGGGCCACCATGAACTCTGAGGCACCAGAGTCTAAGTGCCCACTTCCCACTTGATCTAGCCCTTGGCTCTGGTTACCTTTTTGCTCTCAGAAAGTCTGAGGGGGTTGTTTTCTTCGGGACTTTCAAGGGAAGGGTCGATGTCATCTTCCTCGTCTTCGTTGTCTTCTTCCTTCTCCTCTTGCTCTCTGTCCTCTTCATTTTCCTCCTGATCTTCTGTGGATTTAGCTTTCCCAGGATCTGCTGGCTCAGCTGCTAGTTCATCCCCACATGGCTCCTTTGTTTCCTCTTTCACTTCCTTCTCTTTTTCCTCCTCCATCTCCTCTCTCTTTTCCTCCTCTTTTGCTAGTCCATCTAATTTCCCCTGGCTGGCCTTGTAGTACAGCACCACCTCCAGACTCTGTGGGGTGGGGGGTAGGGCAGGATGGGGGCTGCATTACCGGTGAAGCTCCTAATCTCATGACAAAGCTGTACTAGCTCAAGGAAACATGACTTCCAGCATGTCACAGTGCAAGGGTGCAGCCCGATGGTCTGGGACTGTGAGCCAATCCTCCTGAGCATAATCATACCTCACCTCTCAGGACACTATGTCTGGCCATGAAGCCATGTCAGACAGCTGCCAGAACTAATGAGTCTTGGGCTCTGCACCTACACTGTCGTTTCCTACCTCTATGGGGACTCTTCTTTTACCCAATCCTCTTTCACTTATTAGTACACAACTATCTTTAACAAATTCTTCCCTCTTCATCCGTTTGGTACTTCTCTTGGGCATGCAACCCAGGAAGAACATAGGCCCCAGCAAATGGGGCTGGGTGAAATGAAATAGTTGTCCAGCCTAGGGGCTGTGGTCCTTTGGGGCCGCACCTCCCGATGTGAGTTGTCTGTGTTCCACCCGCCCACTTGCTTCACAGGAAAATGGAGCACCCACTTTCCATTAAGACGGGAACCACTGTAGACACTTCAGAGATCCCAGAAGCTTCTCTACAAATCCCTTGCCTCGTTGAAAGGGCAGTGGAGATGATGCTTCTTCCCAGGATCTCCTCCTCCTTTCTGCTTATCTGGTCACTAAGGTTACTACTCACCTTTCTGGTCTCAAAGTCGCTCTCAGAAGTATCCGAGCACGGCTTGGTCACCTTTTTAGCTTTAACCCCATTGGCATTCTTGTTCATGTTCTTATTAGCATTCTTCCCCCGGGCTTCTTTGAAAGTGGAGGGCCTCTTCTCCCTGAGCTGGCGGAGCTCCTCCTGGCAGCACTGCAGCTGCCCCTCCAGCTGCTCCTGCACTGCCAGAAGCCGCCCCTGCTCATCCATGCTAGCCTGGTATTGCAGCTGCAGCTCCCGCAGCTTGGTCTGCAGGTCTTTGATCTGTTGGTAGCAGAGGGCCAGTTATCCAGAGTTGGTGGGTTATGCAACCAGTTGGTTGCCCACGCAACCAACCTCGGTCCTGCTTAGGGGGTCACTGCCTCAGAAATCTCCCTGCTAAAGGTCATAGGAAGTAGACAATAAAGAAAATATTCAACTGTGGAAAATAAGCCTCTCAAATAGTTTTACAAATAGCTTCTCTCTAACTTGAGGCACCTGACGATTTATATCTAATAAGATTAAAAAAACAGCTGGGCACAGTGGCTCACTTGCCACCCAGTGTAATCCCAGCACTTTTGGAGGCTGAGGTGGTCAGATCACTTGTGGTCAGGAATTCGAGACAGCCTGGCCAACATAGTGAAACACCGTTTCTACTAAAAATACAAAAAAAAATAGCTGGTTGTGGTGGCACGCGCCTATAATCCCAGCTACTCTGGAGGCTGAGACAGGAGAATTGCTTGAGTCTGGGAGGCGGAGGTTGCAGCGAGCTGAGATCGTGCCATTGCACTCCAGCCTGGGCCACAAGAGTGAAACTCCATCTCAAAGAAAAAAAAAAGGTCAAAAAACCAATTTAAATTGTGTTTTTTTTTTTTTTTACTGTGACTGTCTGGGGAATAATGATAGGGCTGCTATCAATTCTGAACCTCAGGGATTTCTTATATAATTCTTTTTACAGGAACTCCTACTTCATCCAACCCATCTAACAGGAACAACGATGTGAAGAACTGTGTTGTATACTCCTGAAGTGTGTACTGGGCTCCTGCACCTCACCCTGGAAACAGGCAAGCCACACCCTGCTCCCTCATCTCAGGTTTTGTCTTCCCTGGCTGATGGCAACACGTCACCATTCCCTCCATAGGTACCAATACTAGCCAGTCTGGACCCATGTGTTTGCTGCTCTCTGAATCTCTCCCATGTGTATACAAAGAGACGCCCACTGGACTGTGAGCCCCTGGCCAGAGACAAGGCTTCTGTCCCATTTCTAGGAATGGGACATCTTGGCACTGTGAGAGATCCAAAAGGAGACATGTCCCTGTCCTTGAGCTGCTTACAGTCTAGCTGGTGCTCCTAGTTGGTACACCGGGAGACACGGCAAATGCACACACAATGATGAAAGATTGGCAAGTGCAAAAATACACTTCTACAGAAGTGGTCTAGAACACAGAGCAAAAGAGAGAGCAGGAGTGGCAAAGGGAGAAAGAGAGAAATCATTGATGAGAGGAGTCCTGATGATTAAACTAGTAAACCCCAGCTCCATGAGCACTTGGGAAATGTCATCAGGGATGCAGCAGACTGCCCAGCCTCAGAGCCGCATGCTCTCCCTGCTTTGTCCCTCTCTCTTTAGCCTCTTTGAAGTGGCCATGACTCCTCTGACTCCAGGGGCTCCGAGAGGGAACCCTGCCTCCCTGTCAGCAGTTACCTCATTCTTGTCGTTCTGGGGGGCCACGGGCTTTTCAAGGCATTCCATGCACTCCTTAAACTCCTTTTCACAGGCATCCATCTCTTCCTTCAGGTCTTTCTGCTTGGCCAGTAACTTTTCCAGCTGCTCTTGCAGCTGGCTGTGCTCCTCCTGGCTTATCTGGTACATGGCCTGCACTGCCTGCAGCTTGATCAGCACCTTAGCAACCATTTCCTCAAAGTGCTGTGGGGGAGGGGGAGTGAGCAACAATAGCACCCCAGGAGCACCTAAGCTCCACCCAACTCTGCTGGGCCCCTCTCTGGATAACAAACAATGGCCATCAGGATCCGGAGCTGCCCGGGAGGAATACTGTATTTATCCCCATAAAGAGCACCATGGCTGTGGTGAGGAAATGGACTATGGGCCTCTGTTCAGATGGGGGCATCTCTCTATGAGGGCTGAGGGGGAGGCCAGGCTGCCATGGGTAGAGGGCTTCGCTTACTTCCAGTAGTTCCCCACGTCAGCTCTGACCCCATTCCCACACTTCTTGTCCCTTCCCCTAGGCGATGTATCTCTTAAAAAGACAAGAGTCCATCGTCCTCTGCCTGACCTGTCACCTGGCAACTGTTACCTCCATGTCTTCAGGCTCAGCAGGTTCATCTTCAGTGCAGCTGCTGACAAAACTCTTGTGAAAGGTGTCAGAGCTACTGGTGCTGCCGTAACTCTTCTCATAGGTAATGCTGCTGTTGGTGGTGGTACAATAACTCTTTTCATAGGTCTCACTGGCACTGGTGCTGCTGTCATAGCTCTTGAGGAGGCTCTCGTCGCTGGTCTGGGTGCTGGTATAACTCTTGCAATAGCTCTCATTGTCATCAATAGTGCTATCGCGACAGTTCTCATTGCTGGGGGACATGCTGCTACCATAGCTCTTCCTGTAGGACTCAAGGCTCATTTTTATAGAAGGGGACTGGACTTGAAGCAGTTGCATTTCTTCCAGGCAGAGCTGCAAGTCTGTCTGCAGCCTCTTCCGCTCCTCTAGGAGCCTCCCTTGCTCTTGCTGCAAGAGCTCCTGCTCCGCCTGACTGGCTTCATACAGCACCTGCAGGGCCTGCATCTGTTCCATAAGCAACTTGGATTGCTGGGGGCAGGGGTGAGGAGACATTATCATTACTCTGACATTTCAGTCCTTTCAGCTGCACCTTTCCTGGTGCAGGTGTCTGAGAGCACATCTTAGTGAATGGCACGCCTACATTTCAGCCTCACACCAGCCTGTCTTTTTGACTTAGCCTACAGGTAACTGGCATGTGTCAGTTTCTTACTCATTTGGGAAAATCTCCCCAAGGCAGATACTCCATGATTTCTGGGTTCCCATTTTGGCTGGTTTCTGCACTCTGATATATCCCTGTCTCCTTGGAGCAGTGGGTTTCCAGAACACCCTGGCTCCCTACCACACCCTCATCTCAGTCAGGTATACCAGTTATCCTGGCCTTCAGGCTCAGTCCCTTCCCCTATCCCTAGTTCTAAAATCAGCCCCAGCCTTGAATGCAGCAATATGAAGAAGTGGAATCAAGATCTTACTATTAGTTCCTGTATCTCCTGCCGCAATTCTGAATCTGGCCTCTGGGCATGTTTCCCAGGCTGTCTAGGCCTGGCTTCTTGGCTGCTGATGTCCAGGATGAGATCTGATCAGTTAAGGAAATATTTTATACCTGGTTCCCAGCTCTGTGTTACCCAGGCCTCCAGCCTGGACATCTGATGCCCCTGGAATATGATCCAGCCTCACGGCGTTGACTTTTGCTACTCCCTGTTCTCCTAGTTCGGCTAAGATTTGAATGAATAGATTCAGCCTAAACCGAAACTGTCTACCTGCCCTTCCTTGCCCACACTGAGACCTCAGAACAACTTGATCCCCCAACCCCGAATAGAATTGTATGGTGATCTCCACCTGTGCCACCTCATCTTCATGACCCCTTGTTGGTACTTGAGAGGCATCGATTTTCTGGTCTAACCCCTGTGATCTTGCTCTGTTATTGCCACTAAAGTTCCAATAAAGATACTGTGGTCACTACTAAGAACCTCATATGCTAGGAATTCTTCTCTTGGAAATGAAAGGGACCAAATTTGCCTCATATAGAACACCAAACGTGATAAGATTTTGATAACTGAGAAGTGTACTTTTCCACTCAAAAAAAAAAAAAAGATGACATGTTTAGAGTCAGTCCAAAGGAATCCAAACAAACACCAAACTGATATTATACATCTTACTGGGAATGAGTCAAATGGCCAGATTACAGACTTTGGGTCATCCCAGCTCTGCCCTGAGTGCTCACAGTGCTTCAGCTAAGCACTGTGAATATAAATGGGATAAAAGATAATGGCATCTAGGTGAGGTCTTTTGGCCGTATCTAAAAGCCACCTCTTAATAGAGCCTGTGAGTGGTCAGAGCTGGTGAAGGGTAGGGCTTTAGCCTTATCCTTACCCCTGACCAAATAGCCTTCCCAACTCTGACCCTTTGGCTGTGCCCAGTCTCCCTGCCATGCTGTTGTGCTCAGGAGAACTGTCGCCCTACCTCTTACTATGGTTACCTTGTTTCGATCACATTTTGAGGACTTAGCCAATTTGGAATCATCTGGATTCTCCAACACTTCCTGGAAATGAGATTCTTTGAAACGTCGCAGCTCTTCGTGTAGCTCTAATTGTTCTTTCAATACACAGTCTTGGTTCCGTATCAGCTTCTTCTGTTCCTCCTGCATGCCTTGGTAGAGCAGCTGCAGTTCGCACAGGTCTTCCAACTTGGTGAGTAGCTCCTGACTCTGAGGCGAAGTAGAAGGAAGGAGGCAAGGGATCGTGGTGGTTACCACAAGGAAGTCTGATGCCTCCCTGGTGCCTCATTCCTGTTGTGAACAATTCCCTGAAGAATCTCTGGGTTGGCTTCACAGAGCCCATCTGGGGACAGGAGGGCTTTCTATGGAGGCCTGCTAAAAGTAGTAATAATCTCTTACGTTGGGATTTATCTTGTAGTTTACAAAGTGCTTTCAGGTGCATTTTCTCCAGATGGACTAAATAGCTAAATATAAACTGCTGCACAGATTCCAGAGTATAAAAAGGTATTTTAAGATTTGAAGCACTTGGCCGGGCGTGGTGGCTCAAGCCTGTCATCCCAGCACTTTGGGAGGCCGAGGCGGTTGGGTCACGAGGTCAAGAAATCGAGACCATCCTGGTCAACATGGTGAAACCCCGTCTCTACTAAAAATACTAAAAATTAGCTGGGCATGGCGGCGCGTGCCTGTAATCCCAGCTGCTCAGGAGGCTGAGGCAGGAGAATTGCCTGAACCCAGGAGGCGGAGGCTGCGGTGAGCCGAGGTCGCGCCATTGCACTCCAGCCTGGGTAACAAGAGCGAAACTCCGCCTCAAAAAAAAAAAAAAAAAAAAAAAAGATTTGAAGCACTTATAAGAAAACTCTAATTGGTTCTATCGAGCTTTTTGGTTTAGGGAGAGTGGTGAGAAAGTAAGGAGTGGTTGGTAAGGAGATGAAAAAGTTCAATCCCCATCCTTTTATGTTTCCCTAGTCACACAGGGAAGCTTCTCAGAGCAGCTTCCCCACAGTAAGCAGCCGCCTCTGGTGGAGTTACCTTGAGTAAGAGGCCACTCTTGGGCAGTGGCAGTGTGAGCCTGTGCAGCTCTTCCTGCAGCTGGCCCTGCTCCTCCTGCATCCTCCTCTGATCCTCCAGGAGCTCACACTGCTCCATCTGCAGCTGCCCCATCTCCTTCTGGCTGGCCTTGTACTTTTCCTGCAATTCTGTCAGTCTGGACAGCAGTGTGTCACACTGTGGGCGAGGGCAGGTGTGGAGCAGGTGGTTACTCTGTAAGGTAAGCTTCCTGGGTGGCTAGCAGAGCACTTCTGTGCTCTCCTGCCTCTTGTGATTCTCTCCCTGTGCAGTCACGTTGGATGGGTCACCCCAAGCCACGTCGCACCCTGGCTGTTTAGATGCCAACTGGGGAGCCCCAGCAGGCTACTCTTTCAGAGCAGGTTGTTTTAGACTGGTAGCTGGCCATGCTCTAAACTTCTACCATTCCCTTCTGGGGGCAGTGTGATAGGGCTTGCTATCGATGACCCTTCCTCCTCATTTCCCCATTTCTCTTCTCCGGCCCTTTCCTGTGGTGTGTATATCATATTTCCCTCCTACCGGGAACTCTAGCGCCTGTTATTCTCATTAACCCTAGTTTTTTGTTTTTTTTTTTAATATAATTACAATCCTTACTAATAGGGACTTAATTTTACCAATTTTTGCTTTCCTAATTCCTTAAATCTTTAGAAAAGTGTGAGCTATTGCTCAATTTGGGTTGAGAAGACTAAATCATCCCAAATCATCCCATTTCCAAAAACCCAAATCTTCCAATATCAGACAGATCTCAATGCTGTTTTATGGCTAGAGAAAAAGCAGGTGCTGTCTGCCAGCATGCGTCTCCTTTCCCATCGTTTCTTCCATTAGGGGAAGAGGTGATGAGCAAGTCATGGATCCCCTGGGCTCCTAAATTGAGTAGAAGTGGAGAAAGGAGGAAACACGAGCCTGGATATAAAAAGGCAAAGAGACTGTTAAGGTGGCCCAAATAACCTTCCCAATCCTCTGTCTCCTGTAGGCCTTTCCCCAGGGACAGGAACTACTGAGTTTTCTGGCAGAACGTGACCAGCTCCACCATCTTTAGAGACTTTTGGGTCTCTTCTCCAACGGGCTTCAACACCTTTCTCTTTCCCATAAGTAATCAGGAACTGAAAGTGCTCAACAGGATAAATGATAACGGCTTGCACTTTATACACTATGGAAAAGAAAAAATGAATAAGGCCTTTTTTAAAATCACTATCAGAATTGATTACTAAAAGGAAGTGAGATGAGAGTAGTATTCTCTTCCATGTAAAGAGGGCACAATTCAACCTTCAGGAATTTAATTACTGGCAGGGCTCGGTGGCTCATGCCTGTAATCCCAGCACCTTGGGAGGCCGAGGCAGGTGGATAACCTGAGGTCAGGAGTTCAAGACCAGCCTGACCAACATGGCAAAACCCTGTCTCAACTAAAAATACAAAAATTAGCCAGGTGTGGTGGCGTGTGCCTGTAGTCCCAGCTACTCGGGAGGCTGAGACAGGAGAATTGCTTGAACCCAGGAGGCAGAGGTTGCAGTGAGCTGAGATCATGCCACTGCACTTCAGCCTGGGTGACAGGGTGAGACTCCATCTCAAAAAAAAAAAAAAAAAAGAAAAAGAGAATTTAACTACTTTGAAGTCACAGAATAAATCCTGGAAGAGCTTATGTCCTTCTTTTGCCCAATCAGCACTCTGGGCACAAGACCATACCCCCTTTTAAAAGCATTTGCAATCTGCGCCAGAAAACTAGCCCCTCTCTCTAGTTGTGTATATGTTCTTCTCCACGAATGACTAGATATCACTACAGTTCTAAGACCGCTGTATAAATATCTGTATCTGTGTAAAACCTTCAGATGTTCAGACTGGGATCCAAATATACTGATCCTACTAAGCTGTGGCTCTGGCTCAAAGTCAAGGTCAGGGCAAACTGTTTTGAAGTCAGCAGCATGTGGCCCTGCCTCTACTTCCTGCCTAGGAAGCCCATCAAGCCCTTCAGTTGGGTGCCTCCACCTTTTGCCTCTGTACCTCCTCTGTCTGGAGCAAGTGCCCAGGAGCTGTCACCTCTCGGAATGACAATTACCTTATTAGCACACTTTCCTTTGTCCTCTGGAATGGGCTGGGAGGCCTTGAGCTCTTTCAGCTCCAGCCGGCAGAGCAGGAGGTCCTGCTCCAGCTGGTCATACATGTGCTTCTGCCGCTCCAGCTCGTCCTTGCTTGCCTGGTACAGCTGCTTCATCTCCTGAAGCTGGGCATGGGTCTCTGTGTTCTGGGCAGGGGAGGCAGGCCTGGCCATCACCCCAGGCACTGCTGCTGCTGGGCTTTCTCCTCCCAGGCAGGGACTAAGGGGACCCATCTTCCCTTATCCTACTCAGCCACAATTTCATCTCAGCCAAGGATAGATACCCAAGATGGACCCGTCCCTAACAGGCTTGAAATACAAATCTTCCCAGTATAGCCTCTCAAGTTAAATAAATACATATAAAAATAATTTAAAAAGAAACACAGGCCTTCTGGGGCTTCCTTTTTTGGGAGGTGGGGAGGGAAAAGGACTTCCTTTTTATATGCCGATTTTCTGATTTAAAATCAAAGGAAGCTGAGAGCCTTGTGACTCCCTGAGGCCACCTTTCTCCCAAGTACCTCTTTGGCCCCCTCACGGCCAGCTCCTCCACACTTGTACCATTCCCTCTCCTCTGCGCCCTCCCCCTCACACAAGATGCCACCTGGCTACATCCTCCCTCACCTGGAGCTTCTTTTACCTTCTCGTTGCTCTCTCTGAAGGAGGCTGCCATATCCCTGAGATGCTGCAGCTCTGCCTCATGGCACTGCAGCTCCTCCTGCAGCTGCTGCTGCCGTTCCAGCAGCTTTTCCTTCTCACATGTGACATTCTGGTGCTGGAGCTGCAGCTTCTGCAGCCGGCACAGTAACTCCTATGGTAGAAGGGGCTTTGGACAGTGCCTCTGGGCTCCTTAACCCACTGGCTTTTCTGTCTGAATCACTTGAAGACACTGACAGTCTAAGATTTGCTTCTCCCTGCCCTGCCCTTCACTTCCTAATGTCCTCACCTCTAACGTAGTACTCGAGCAGGCCTGGAGTTCTTTACCTGTGGTGCTGCCTCTGTGGTTGCTGGAATTATTTTTAACTCACTACTCTTATCCACCTTCCCCAAAACCTCAGAAGGATGCTCTTAGCACCTAAGTTGTCCCCTCACCTCTGGTTGCTGTTACCTTCTCACTCTGGTTTTCTATAAGTGTGAATTTCATGACTTTGAGCTGCCGGAGCTCAGCCTGAAGTTGTAGCTGTGCCTTCAAGAGCTCATTCTGCTCATCCTGGCTAGTATCATATTTTTTCTGCAGGGCACAGAGTCTGGACTTCAGCTCCTCGTTCTGTGGTAGGGAGGATGTGAGTAGAACAGTTACTCTCAAGAAACAGCAGATCTTTCTACGGATCAGTTGGGTTCCTTTTCAGATGCAGACATCTTGAGGAGCTCCCACAGTTCTAAGGTTTGGTTTCTTCTGTGAGACGGACACTCAGTAATGACCACCATTTCTAGAATGCAGTGCTATATGACTGCTACAGTTGGTTTCCCGCAGACTGTGCCCATTGCAGGGCAAGAGTTGGCAAAGCACAGCCATGCTCACTGTGCCCACCCCCATTGAAGCAACCCCTCCATGAGGCCCTTCTGCCCCCACCCCAGATGCCTCCCCGGGCAGTGTTTACCTGGGTGACACTGTGGGAGGTCTGGAACCGAAGCACCTCATTCTGAGCACACTTGAGCTCCCTCTGCAGCCGCCTCTGCTCCTCCTCACTGACCTGGCGATGATGCTGTAGCTCTTGCAACTCACAACACAACTCTTGACACTATGTGGGAAATGGAACAGGGAGGCTTGTTTACTACAGGTACCACATGTGCTCCCAGAACAGCACATGTTCACTGTGGAAAGCCTGGCATTCTTTGACTGGAAGATTTACATCAGGCAAGCAAGACCCCAGAGTACTATCTCCCGCCACAGTGCATGCCTATGGAGATGTTTCTACCACAGGCTGAGAGAAGGTGAAAGAAAGACAATGAAAGGCTGGCCTTTCCCACCCTCTGTACCCTACCTTCTTCTTCATGTCATGCATCTGCTCTTCAGCATCCCATAGCTGCTGCCGTAACAACTGCATTTCAGGATCAGGCTCTAGGAAATCCATTTCTGAAGTCTGAGACTCTACTGACGTCATACTCCTTAGTGTTTGGGACTCCAGCCATCTCTCTGTTGCTCTTTGTGTCCTGCAATCCAGAACCCCAGAGCGATGCTGGGAGGGAGTTTTGCCTGGCATCACCAGCCGCGCATGCCTGGTCCTGATGCCTTCATTTTAAGCCAAAGATAGTAAGGGGACTTTTATTGTGATTCACTGTTCACATGAACAGAAAAAGTCTCCAGCACCTCAATCTGCAAAGGTATGTTTGGCTCTGGGAGATCCTAAGAGTGCCAGGCCATTTAGTTTTGAGGCTGGGCCTCATCAAGCCCACTCCAATCTGATAGCATTATGCCTGCCATTAGACTGAAGCAACTCTATGCAGACAATGAAAGAATCTCTTCTGATCTGCTTTAGGGCAGAGCAAACCAGATCCCAAAGCCTAAAACAGAACTGAACTTCAGAACTCACTCCCTCTAGTCTTGAGACAATTGGGTCAGATCCCCATGTCTGCTTGTACATGGTATCTGTGTCCTCTGGAAACCATGGAAAAGACTGGCTCTCCAGGAGCAGAGGAATGCTCACTGCCCTGGCATGTGCCTTCAGGGGAAAGCCTAAGGCAAGGCAGAGTCCTACAGAACCCCATAACCTCTCACTCTCTAGAGACAGCTGTACTGTACCTCTCACTCTCCAGAAAAAGTAAGGCAGAGTCCTGCAGAACCCCATAACCTCTCACTCTCCAGAGACAGCTGTACCTCTCACTCTCCAGATCTGCGAGCTGCCCCGTGAGGCTGCTGTTGCTCTCCTGCAGGGCCCGGTATTCCTCATTCAGGAAATGGTAGCGTTCCCGCAGCTGCTGAAGTTCTTCTGCAGAGGACAGGCAGAGAAAGATGAGACCCTCAGGAGGAAAGTACTGATGACCAGCCCCTAGTTTTCCTGTCTTGAAACCTGAGAGCAGAAGGCTAAAGAGCTTCTCTTTTTCTGAAGACAGAAAAGAGATACAGAGGCTTAGAAGACAGGGCCCAGGAAATTCCACAGTGCAGTGGGTCTTTCTCCTCTTCCCGATAGCTGTCCTTCTTTTCATCTGCCCTGATGATTTGCCCTGTGTGCTCATCTTCAAAGCCTCAATCAAAGCAGACTCTTGAGCTTTTAGGAATTTTTGAAGGTTTAATTAAATTTTGGGTTTACTGTATGTAAAGTTTCCATTCAACTGTTTATGATTATCTTCCAATTAGGCTTTTAGTACAAAAAGCTGAGAGATGTGAACTGTCACATGTGACTGCCAGTACCTGCCTTTCAGGCATTCTGAGTTTACTTTTACATCCTTTATTCCCACACCAAATACACTGGTCTGGATGTGGTAAAGAATTCTTGGCAGCTGCAGTGGCTCACACCTGTAATCCCAGCACTTTGGGAGGCTGAGATAGGCAGATCACTTGAAGTCAGGAGTTCGAGACCAGCCTGGCCAATATGGCAAAACCCCATCTCTACTAACTACAAAAATTAGCCAGGCATGGTGATGGGAACCTGTAGTCCCAGCTACTCAGGAGGCTGAGGTAGCAGAATCACTTGAACCTGAGAGGCAGAGGTTACAGCGAGCCAAGACCGCACCACTGCACTCCAGCCTGGGCAACAGAGTGAGATTCTGTCTCAAAAAAATTAAAAATAAAAAAAAAGAATTCTTTCTAAATGGCATTTTATCCGCTGACAGAAAAGCCCATCCTCATCCTCAAGCATTAGAAGAGATCCAGTTGACATACCCCAGCGCATGTCTCTAAGCACCAGTCACCTATACCTATACTTTTTGTTTTTTGGTTTTGTTTTGTTTTGAGATAGTCTCACTCCGTCATCCAGGCTGCAGTGCAGTGGCACAGTCATGGCTCACTGCAGCCTCAACTTGCCTGGCCTCAGGTGATCCTCCTACCTCAGCTTCCCGAGTACCTACGACTGTAGTGCACACTGCCAAGCTTGGCTAATATTTGAATTTTTCTGTAGAGATGGGGTTTTGCCATATTGCCCAGACTGGTCTCAAATTCCTCGACTCAAGTGATCTGCCTATCTTGGCCTCCCAAAGTGCTGAGAGTACAGGCAGGAGCCACCATGACTACCCACCAATACTTTTCAAGGTTGTGATGATACAAACACCTGTATCTGTTTTGTTTCTTCATGATTAAGAATTATGTTGGCTGGGTGCAGTGGCTTACACCTGTGATCCCAACATTTTGGAAGGCCAAGGTAGGAAGATAATTAGAGCCCAGGAGTTCGAGACCAGCCTGGGAAACAGAGCGAGACTCTGTGTCCAGTTGCAAAAAATTAAAAAAGAATTATGTCTCTTAGAACACTAATTCTACTGATATTTAAAGAGCACTAACTTGCTCTAAGTAGAACACACGACTTATCTTACCTGCTGGAAGATTCAACACCCTAAAAGTGACTTCTAATGTTTCCTGTTAATTCTAATCAGAATTCCTTAGAATACTACAGATTACCATAGAGGGAAGGAAGGAAACTAATCTTTAATGAAAACTAACCACGCACTAAGCATTAGACTTGATAGTTTCAGCCTCGGATTCAGTAAGTGTGCAAGTGATTTCAACATGCTTCACATTTCATTTAATTCCCACAATAGCTCTGTAAGTTTTCTTTTTTTTTTTTTGTTTTTGAGACGGAGTTTCGCTCTTGTTGCCCAGGCTGGAGTGCAATGGCGCGATCTCGGCTCACCGCAACCTCCGCCTCCTGGGTTCAGGCAATTCTCCTGCCTCAGCCTCCTGAGTAGCTGGGATTACAGGCACACGCCACCATGCCCAGCTAATTTTTTGTATTTTTAGTAGAGATGGGGTTTCACCATGTTGACCAGGTTGGTCTTGATCTCTTGACCTCGTGATCCACCCGCCTCAGCCTCCCAAAGCGCTGGGATTACAGGCTTGAGCCACCGCGCCCGGTAGTTTTCTTTTTCTTTAAATAAACTTTAAATTTTAGAATAGTTTTAGATTTACAAAAAAAATGCAAAGATAGTACAGAGTTTCCTGGGAGAGTTTCTCACCCAGTTTCCCTAATTGTTAACATCTTACATTACCATGGTATACCTGTCATGTCTAAGGAATCAAATATTGATACACTGCTGTTAACTAAACTCCGTATTTGACTTAGATTTCTTAGCATTTTCCCTAAGGACCTTTTCCTGTTTCAGGATCCCTTCTAGCCATAAGGTTTTATTGGCTGGGTACAGTGGCTCATGCCTGTAATCCCAGCTCTTAGGGAGGCAGAGGCAGGAGGACAGCTTGAGTCCAGGAGTTTGAGACCTGCCTGGGCAATATAGCGAGACCCCATTCTCCACAAAAAGGAAAAAGAAAAAAAAAGGTTTTATTAACCAATTTTGATTTCACATCCCAGATATAGAAACAGGCTCAGAGAAAGACCATAACCAGACTACCTATGTTCATCCTGCTAATTAGTGGAACTGAGATTCTAAACTCAGGTCTGTTTGACTCCAGCCCCAGCCTTCCCACTGTGCCAGCCTTCCTCTCCCAGCACCATTTAATCTAAAGGCTTTTCTGAGAGGTTTGGTACAGATGGAAAAACTTGAAGTTCTTTGATTCCTTGTTGATTGCCTCTGCTTGACCTGGCCAAATATAGGACCTCCATTATACTCGGATCATAAATCTAGCCTCAGAATAAAGGCAAACTCTCTGATGTCATGAATCCTAGCAACTAGCTGGGAGACTCACTGTCTGAAAGCAGGGCTCTAGGCTTTTAGGTATCTCATGTATCACTAGCAATAACTTTTCTTCTCTAGCTGTCTTGTGCTCTGATTTGTTGCCTCTCTAAAGCTTCTATTTTGGGGAGAGCTAAAGGAGCCTAAGAATTAGCATCCCTGTACCTGGAAGCAGGGCCAGAGACCCCCCACAAAGCAGTCCAAGCAAAGCACCATGATGCCAGGGTAGCAGGGAGAGTTTCCCAAGGTGACAGGTCCCTCTTTGCCCATCCTAGGGTTGGAAATTTTCCCAGGAAGGGGTTTCCCATAGTCAAATCAACAAAGACTCAATGACTCTGAAGAATTCCCAGGGTACTTCACCATGGTGCTATTTCTTACACCACCACGGACCAGTTATGTAACATCTGAGTAGGTTTTCCCCCCTTTATTTAAAATTTTCTTTTAGAAAGAGATAGGGTCTCCCAGGCTTGTTATGAATGCCTGGGCTCCAGTGATCCTCCCATCTTGGCCTCCTAAAGTTCTAGGATTACAGGCATGAGCCACCATGCCTGGCCCCCTTACAGTCTTGAATTCAACCTGGAGGTTTTTATTGTTTTGTTTGTTTGTGAGACAGTCTCGCTCTGTTGCCAGGCTGGAGTTCAGCGGCGTGATCTTGGCTCACTGCAACCTCCGCCTCCCGGGTTCAAGCAATTCTCCTGCCTCAGCCTCCCAAGTAGCTGGGACTACAGATGCATGCCACTATGCCCAGCTAATTTTTTGTATTAGTAGTAGAGACTGGGGTTTCACCATGTTAGCCAGGATGGTCTCAATCTCCTGATCTTGTGATCCACCCGCCTCAGCCTCCCAAAGTGCTGGGATTACAGGCGTGAGCCACCACCCTCGGCCGAACCTGGAGGGTTTTTCTAGAGTTTCCCAATTTATGATCTAACACCACCTTCTACCATTTTTCTACATATTTTCTCCTTTCCTCTGCTTGACTTTACTGAAAGACTTGACTGCTCTCATACCTTGCAACCCAGAGAAATCTGAGAGACTTAAACTATTGGATGTTTCAGAGCTCTTCATTTCCATCTCTGCACGGAGGGAGGCAATCTCCATCTCGTAATCTCCCCGAATGCGTTCCATGTCTTCAAGTTCATTCTGCAGCCGGCAGAGATCCTCCTGCAGGGACGCTATGTCACTCTCATGTTCAGTTGCAGAATCCTCCGCTGCTTGCCGCAAATTCTGGATCTCAGCCTGGGCCAAATGTAGTTCCTGTTCTATTTCCTTAAGTTCACTTTCTTTCTCATGCTCTAATAGGGAAATCTCCTCCCGCAGAGAACGCAGCTCACCTGCAAAGCCCAAAGGTTGAGATGGTCAAGAGGGCAGGTGAACTAATATACAATATTCTAGAGGTATGAAATTAAAGGGAGGCTTATTTCTTGTCTGCAAAGTCCTGAAAACCTCGTCTCTACCCCATCAGAGAAGTATAGCATGCCAGATGGAATAAAAGGAGTACCTAAGAAGGGAAAAAGAGAGTGAGTCTATGTAATAATTAAGGTCCAATAGAAAAGTAGATTTTGAGGCCTGGCACCAAAAGCAATCACTTGGTCTACTGTAAACAAAAAGTATTACATGATTCTAAGGAATCACCTGACAGTTAAAGACCTAACTTTATTTATAGTATTTTCTTGATGCCCCAAATCTTTCTTTTTTTTTTTTTTTTTGAGATGGAGTTCTCGCTCTTGTTACCCAGGCTGGAGTGCAATGGCACGATCTCGGCTCACCGCAACCTCCGCCTCCTGGGGTCAGGCAATTCTCCTGCCTCAGCCTCCTGAGTAGCTGGGATTACAGGCACGTGCCACCATGCCCAGCTAATTTTTTGCACTTTTAGTAGAGACGGGGTTTCACCATGTTGACCAGGATGGTCTCGATCTCTCGACCTCGTGATCCACCGCCTCGGCCTCCCAAAGTGCTGGGATTACAGGCTTGAGCTACCGCGCCCGGCGCTATGCCCCAAATCTTTCTAAAAATTCCCTGACTCAAAAAATGTATACAAGCCACGTGTAGTGACTCACGCCTGTAATCCCAGCACTTTGGGAGGCTGAGACAGACAGGTGATCACCTGAAGTCAGGAGTTCGTCACCAGCCTGGCCAACATGGCAAAACCTAAAAATACAAAAATTAGCCAGGCATGGTGGTGGGCACCTATAATCCCAGCTACTCAGGAGGCTGAGGCAGGGAGAATCACTAAACCTGGGAGGTGGAGGTTGCAGTGAGCCGAGATCATGCCATTGCACTCCAGCCTGGGTGACAGAGCGAGAGACTGTCTCAAAAACAAAAAAATGTCTACACACTATTTTCAACTATTCGGCCTGAGAGCTCAGCTCAGAAATTACAGAGCCTCAGAGTTCCCATGACCTACCTGTGGTAAGTACTGGACCCAAAACAATGTGCACTTAAGAGTTCACAATTGAAATTCATATATAAGTTAACTGCATAATAACCAAACACAAAATAATAATCTAAGTGTCAGTCGACAAGGGACTGTTTAAACTGATGACAGTTAGGCTAGGTGTGGTGGCTCATGCCTATAATCCCAGCATTTTGGGAGGCCAAGTTGGGTGGATCGCTTGAGGTCAGGAGTTCAAGACCAGCCTGGCCAACATGCAGAAACCCAATCTCTACTAAAAATACAAAAAAAAAAGAAAGAAAGAAAAAAAAATTAGCCAGGCATGGTGGCGTGCTCCTGTAACCCCAGCTACTTGGGAGGCTGAGATAGGAGAATTGTTTGAACCCAGGAGGCAGAAGTTGCTGTGAGCTGAGATCATGCCACTGTACTCCAGCCTGGGCAACTCAGTCTCAAATAAATAAATAACTAAAGACATGAACAAACTGATGATAGTTAAATGAATATTGTACAGCCATTTAAAAGAAAGTATTAGACCTATGGTGAAAACAAAGACATTTCCATATTAACTAAAGAAAAAGAGCTGTAAAATATGATCCAATTTTTGCAAAAAATATTTTATGTATAGTATATAACACACAAATGGACAAACATATAGAAAAAGGCCTGGAAAGATTTATGTCCAAACCACAATGAGTAGCTATTTCTGAGGTATGGGATAATATGTGATGAGGTTTTTACTTTACATGTCAGATCTATCTGTGCTGTTTGGATTTCCAGAACAAGCCTGTATTTTCTAATTTTTCATTTACAAAATAATGGGTCAAGAGTTCTCTGTATCTATGGAGCATCTCAGAGTTTCTAGACACATGTTCCCATCTGGGATCAGAACCAAAAAGTGAAAAGTAAAAGGCACTGATACCAACAATGAATTCAGAATTTGAGGGCTAGAATTAGAGAATGAATGAGGACTGGGTTGGGAAGGTCAGGACCTTCCCATAAATCCTTTGCAAGGCACATTCTCTCATCCCCTTCCCCCAACTCCTGCTCACTCTACTCACCAAGCAGATGTCAATTTTTCTAGCCTGTACCTCCATTTCCTCAAAAAAATTAAGAGAAGTCCTGCTATTAAATGGTCTCACAGAACCTTGTACTTTGCTATGTGTGTGTGCATACTTAGTCTCCCCTTCACTTGGTTATGAGCTTTATGAAGGCAGAGAGCATATCTGGTATGCTCACCATTACAGCTCTAGGGATCTAGTATTGTGCCTGAAAATGAAGCTCAATAGATATTTGATGTATTCATGCATAAATAAGGCAGGTGGTTCATCCACTCAGCAAACTTTAAGTCTCTCCTATGTGTACAGAACTAAACATTTGGAGTTTGGGGGTTTTTGTTTTTGAGATACAGTCTTGTTCTGTGGCCCAGGCTCAAGTGGAGTGGCATGATCATGGCTCACTGAAGCCTTGACTTCGAGGGCTCAAGCAATCCTCCCACCTCAGCATCCCTCATATCTGGGACTATAGGCGTGGGCCACTATGCCCCGCTATTTTCTTTCTTTCTTCTTTTTTTTTTTAATGTAGAGACAGGGGTCCCTTCCTGTTGCCCAGACTGGTCTCAAACTCCTGGGCTCAGGTGATTCTCCCATCTTGGCTTCCCAAAATGCTGGGATTACAGGTATGAGCCACCACACCTGGCTGTTTTTTTTTTTTTTTTTTTTAATTAGAAGAGAATCTAGACTTTCAAAGAAGACAAATTTGGACACACTTCATAGATAGATGCTGAGTGGTGAGGGCATCTCAGGGGAAGATCTACCCTGCTCCCCTGAGCTCTCATGTGCAGCTATGGGCATGTCTTTTGCCAATCTTTCCTGTTCTTGAATGATCCTAGCTATTATGTCTTCTTGATCTATTCAGCAACTATTAACTGATCCTTAACTGTATGCCAAGCCCAAGCATCTCCGGTTAGATTCTCTGACTTCCTATTTGAAAGAAGAGTCCGCTCTACCCCCACTACTGAACAGCACAGTGACATCTGTCTAGTTAGGGAGACCCACGAAGGAAGTGGCCAATAGGATAAAGGCCCTAGAGTCTGGGGTGGGAGTTCTGGAGAAACAGACCAACCTCCACTTCCCTAATATGCTTTTGATGTTAGGGTTCAGCTCTCCCTTAGGTGCTTCTGGCCCTAAAAAATGGCATTCTCAGCCTAGCACAGTGGCTCATGCCTTTAATCCCAGCACTTTGGGAGGCTGAGGCAGGGTGGATCACTTGAGGTCCAGAGTTCAAGATCAACCTGGCCAACATGGGGAAACCCCATCTCTACTATATATACAAAAATCAGCTGGGTGTGGTAGCCTGCACCCGTAATCCCAGCTACTCGGGAGGCTGAGGCAGGAGAATTGCTTGAACCCAGGACGTGGAGGTTGCAGTGAGACAAGATTGCGCCACTGCACTCCAGCCTGGGCAACAAAGCGAAACTCCTTATCAAAAAAAAAAAAAAGGCGTGGTGGCTCAAGCCTGTAATCCCAGCACTTTGGGAGGCTGAGGAGGGTGGATCATGAGGTCGAGAGATCGAGACCATCCTGGTCAACATGGTGAAACCCCGTCTCTACTAAAAATACAAAACATTAGCTGGGCATGGTGGCGGGTGCCTGTAATCCCAGCTACTCAGGAGGCTGAGGCAGGAGAATTGCCTGGACCCAGGAGGCGGAGGTTGCGGTGAGCCGAGATCGCGCCATTGCACTCCAGCCTGGGTAACAAGAGGGAAACTCCGTCTCAAAACAAAAAAAAAAAAAGGCATTCTCAGGGGAACTGAAGAAGGTGCAGGGTCACCTAGAGTCGCCCAGGGCAGGACCCGAGGCCTGGGGGCAGGGCTTATCCGGGAGCGCCCGGGAGTTGGGCGGGGTTCCCCGGATTCGGAGGCGGTGGGGCCCGTTGAGTGTCGGGCTGGGACCGTCCGTGCGAGGTCGAGGGCCCGGGAGTCGGGGCTGCAGGCCCAGAAGTGGATTCTCACTCACTGGTTATGACTTCCATCTTGCCGGCCCCACTTGAGCGGTGTCCCTGGGGGGCTACCCGCCGCGGCCGGCCGGTCCCGGCCCCAGAGGGGCTGTGGCGGCCGGAACCGCCTCCGAACCGCGTCTGCCTTTGAGGCGGCGCGCGCCCCCTCCAGGCGGAAACGGGCGACGCGCGTGCGCGAGGGCAGCCTCGGTGTCTCCTGCAGGGGCCGTGCGGCAGCTCACCCCGGAAAAGTACCCTACCCAGAAAGGAGGCGCTCTAGAACCCCATTTTCCCAGGGAGTTTCTGCCTGCATCTCTGCTCCAATTCTGACTTTCCCCCCTTTGAATGGAGGAACGTCCCTTCTCCAGGCAAAGGCCTTTATTTTTGTACTGGATCTTTTCTTTCATTATACACGATCTAGCATTTCCTATCTTTGAAAAAAAAAGAAAGAAAATAGTCTTTTGACCCTATATCCCATACTTGTCTGCTTCTCTTCAAAATGACTACTGGAGTTATCGGTACTCACCTTTCCCATTTCACCTCCCATGTCCTCTCCAGACCATGCACTGAAATGTCTCAGGGTCATCCATCTTGCCAAACCCAAGAACATCTCGCTTGACTTAGCAACCTGACACAGTGGATCATCGCCTCCTTGAAGCACTTTCTGCCCTGGCTTCCAGGGCATGACATGCTCCAGGAGTTCCTCCTACTTTACTCTTTTGTTCATTTCTCCTTCCATACTGGACCTCTAAATACTGGAGGTCTCTGGGACTGGACTCCTTCAACTCTTCTGGTGTCTCTCCATGTGACTGCACCATGCTTCCCATGGATTCTAAGGCCAATTATATGCTAATGAGTCCAAATTTAAATCTCCGGCCCTGTTTTCTCCCTGGTTCCGGCTTAATATAGCTAACTGCCTCAATATATTCACTTGGATGTCCATAGTCACTTCAAACTCACCAGGGGAGAAAACATGTCTTAAAAGACTCCCCTAGTCCCCAAACTTACCCCTTGCCAAGTCTTTCCCAATTCAATAAACCTCACCACCTTCCATCAGTTTTCTCAAGGCAAAGTCATCTTTCATGTCTCTGTCATCCCCTGATCCAATTCATTAGCAAATCCTGAGGGTTTCACTTTCAAAATATATTCTGAATCATCTCCATTTCTACATCTCTAACTCAAGCAACCATCATCTCTTGACTGGATTATTACAGCAACTTGCTACCACGAATCACTGTTCTGAGTCCCTTCCCTCCATCCTAAGTGTTTCCACTTAGTGGCCAAGTTCTGTTAAAAATGTAAAGCAAATCATATTATCCCAGTCCTGGCTAAGACCCTCTCCTGGCTTTCGACCACACTTAAGATGAAAGCCAAACCTCTTGGCTGGCCTACAAGATCCATTGTTATCTGGCCTCTGCCTGCCTCGGAACATTCTCTCACCAGGGTCCTCCACGTGTACTTTGCTGCAACCACAGTGGCCTCTGTTCTGCCCCTAAACAAATGAAGCTCATTCTCATCTCTGGGGCTCTGCAGCTGCTGTTGCTTCTGCCTGGTGTGCTTCTCCCTCAGATCTTGGATGGCGGGATCCTTTTCATTTTTCAGGTCTTAGCTCAAATGTCATCTTCTCAAAGACGACTTTCCTAACTGCCATATCTAAAATAAATCCCTTCAAGACCAGCCTGGCCAATATGGTGCAACCCCACCTTTACTAAAAATACAATAATTATCTGGGTGTGGTAGCACATGTCTGTAATCTCAGCTACTCAGGAGGCTGAGGCATGAGAATTGCTTGGAGGCGGAGGTTGCAGTGAACCAAGATTGTGCCATTGCACTCCAGCCTGGGCAACAGAGTGAGACTCTGTCTTAAAATAAAATAAAATTAACTCCCATCCCATCTCCTCTCTATATCATATTGTTATAATGTGTTCAGAGTATTGATTGCCACCTGAACTTGTGTTGTTTATTTTCTGCCTCTCTCCATTAGAATGTACTCCTCGGTAGGGCAGGGATGTGGTCTGTCTCATTCATAGCGGGTCCTCCAAGTATAAAGGCACACCATAAATAGGTGATAAATAAATTAGTTCTATTTTACAGATATGAAATGACATCTCAGAACGATAAGTGACTTGCCCAAGATCACACAATTTGTGAGTGGTAGAGCCGGGTCCAGGAAGCTAGGTGATCCCAGACCCATGCCCACAATCTTCCCTGTGTGACACTTTGCTCCTCTGCACGCCTCTTCACTGTCCGCCCTTCTCTGTAGCTACCTTCGCTCACATTTTCTGTCCCCTTCTCATCTCCTCTCGCTCTTAACGCCTCTGCTTGCTCCTGCCCAGGCCATTTCCCGGCCTTCCTTTTTTCTCCATTTATACTTTTCTTTTGGCTTGATCTCAGCTCTCCCCAGAGTCCCTGCCGTTTTCTAGGCCAGCTCCCCTAAACCTTCCGGAAGCCCACAGAAGTAACAAAAGCTGCCTCTTTATCTGGTGGTGCCGTGGAATGTGGGACACCTGCCTTGCTGCTTCCCAGAGACAAAAGGATGTGGGTGTTGGAAAAAAGGGACTTGAGGGCCACAAGCTCAGGTCCCAGAGAGCAACAGAAGTGCTCTCAACTGCCTCCCTTAACAGGTGCAGAGAGGCCCCGCCAGCCGCTTCTCACTGGCGTCATGATCTTTCCCATGCTGTCCTTGGAGGAACCGGAAAAAGGAATCTGCCTTGGAATTCAACTCGGATCACCCACCCCTGGCACTGACCAGGAGAACAAAGGGCCAAGGATACGGTATGAAGGAGGAGGCTGAAGGAACGAGAGGCAAGAGCCCACCAGAAACAGAAGGCGACGGGGAGGCCAAGAAAGGGAAGGGGAAGGTAGAGGAGCCAGGTGGAGGTACAAAGAAAGAAAACTGGGGACAGAGGAGGACGGAGAGACAAGGAGAGGAAAAGGGTGAGCCCAGTAGAGGAAAATGAGGCGAATAACTGAATCTGGTTATGTTTATCTGCTCTGCTTCAGTCAACCCCTCAGGAAAAAAGCACTTAAGGGACCACTTGCATGGCCGTCTCCCTCTGGTCCAAATCCTGGGAATTACCTTGGAGCTGCTGGATCTGCTTGGTGAACACCTCTGCCTGCTGGGCGCTGGCCAGCCGTTCATCCTCCAGGAGCCCTGTAGGGAGAGGAACACCAGTGTCAGGCTGGGATCCGGGGGAGCATAGAGCCTCTGGGCCCGGGCACTCACCCTGTAGCTCCAGGGAGTCGTCCTCATGCTGCCCTGCCAGTTCCCGGGTCTCCTCCAGTTCTGCCACCAGCTGCAGCACCTGAGCCCGCAGCTCCTCCAGCTCTGTCTCCGTGAGGCTCAGGCCCCGGTGCTTGTTGACCGACAGGGAGCCAACACTGCCACCTTTCTGCACTTGTTCTTCCTCTTCTTCCACCTCTTCTTCCTCCTCTTCCTCTTCCTCCTCATAGAGAGCTGGGAGTAACACTTCCCCTGGGAGAGACAACCATCCCAGCAGGGAGTCAGCACCAACTTCCTTTCCACAGTCCCTCTGGAGCCCTTAAACTCACTATCCCAGGGCAGAGATGGTATATAGTGCCACCTTGTGTTCCCCAAGGAGTCCCTGGTCAAGACCTGTACTCAAGATGACTCGTCAGGTGTGAGGGTCAAGTTGAGAGGCAGCCCCTCCACCTCCCAGGCCTTCCCTGGACCAATGTTCACTTGATAGCCTCCTACCACTGCCTGTGGGCAGGCTGGTGCCTGCTCAGCCATGAGACACTTGCACAGGATTATCTGCTTCTAGACTACCCTCTGAGTAGTGGAACAAGTAGTCAAGAAAGGAGACAGTGAGCGGACCTTTAGGTCAAATGAAGTAACAGTTGCAGTTTGGAGATTTCTAGAAAATTAAAAAAAAAAAAAAAACTGGCCAGGCACTGTGGCTCATGCCTGTAATCCTAGCATTTTGGGAGGCTGAGGTAGGTGGATCACTTGAGGTCAGAAGTTCCAAACCAGGCTAGCTAACATGGTGAAACCCCGTCTCTACTAAAAACACAAAAAATTAGCTGGGCGTGGTGGTGGGTGCCTGTAATCACAGTTACTTGGGAGGCTAAGGCAGGAGAATTGCTTGAACCTGGAAAGTGGGGGTGGATGTTGCAGTGAAGCAAGATCAAGCCACTCCAGCCTGGCAACAGAGTGAGACTCTGTCTAAAAAAAAAAAAAAAAAACCCAACCAAAAAAAAAAAAAAAAAAAAAAAAAAATCCAGGTGGTTTGTGAAAAATCAGCCTTTCCATAATAAGAAAGCATTGCCCATTGGCAGGTAGAGAAAAAAAATATCTGATTGTAGAGGTTTCATTGGACAAACTCTGGAGCCCTTTCTTTTTTTTTTTTTTTTTATTTTGTTATTTTTGTTGTTTGGAGCCCTTTCAAATCATCAAATACCTGTTTGAAATTTTCTACAAGGTTCACCTTGTTTTTCCCTGTTGGTTGTCACACGTCTCCTCTCCCCTAGCTGAGCCATAGGAGGCCCCTCCTGCTCTGCTGTCCACAAAGCAGTTTTCAGAGGAAGTCTTAGGCTGTATCTGTGCATAAAAGAAACTCTGCCATTTTAATGCATTAAAAAACTGGGGTTTGGGGCTGGCCCCAGCCTCTGGTTGCGAGCACCCGCTCCTTTACAGCAATGCAGTTCCTATAAATAGCAAAATGTTGTCTGAATGGTGATTGTTTGCTTCGTTTTAAAATTCTGAATCTCTGGTCTTACTTTCTCTAGTATCAGCAGCCTTAGGTTCATCTGGGACCCCTCATGCCATCTGTCCCCCTTAGGGGGAGCAGGTTTGCCTATACTGAATGTGCAACGTGCCACACTTCACAGGAAGTCCTGGAAAATGGACCAGCGTCCTTCCAGGGGCCTGGTGCTGGCAGCAACTGCCAAGTCACATGGGTGTGGTGGGGACACACGTGTGTTGGGAGGATGGCCTCACTCGCCCCCTCCTAGGCTCTCTCTTTCAGGCAGTAAGGTATCCTAGAGAACCAAAGCCACAGGCTTCCATTCGAAGTTAATGGTGGTGGCCCCAGAAAGACAATTCACATGCCCACTTCCTTGCTTTTTGAAAGAAGAGACAGCTTGGGATCTGGGTCGGCAGGCAGTGAGAACAAACCCCCCGCTGAAAGGCTGCTTCAAAGCTCTGTCCAACAAGGCCTCTTTCTCTGTCTGGCAGCTCCCTCGGGACACACAACCTGGTTAACTGGGTGATTGGGGTCCCGAAGGAGTGCACCCTGAACTTCTGTCAAAGTCTGAGCCCTGGGAAGGGCTGGAGCTCTGAGTTGCAGGAGGAGGGGCTAAGACGAACTGAAGGTAGGGCTGTGTCCTGGCTCAGAGGCCTGAGGGTCAAAGGGAAGAGGGAAGGGAATTAAGGGAGGAGGGGAAGGGGCAGAAAGAAGCCTTTTGGGAAAACTCACCCTCCATAGCTTGCATCCCCCGTCGTTCCAGGGACCCCCAGCGTTGGCCCTTCTTCCTCTCACAGCCCTCGGAAGCCTCATAGGAGCCTAAAGTGGTCACTGTGGGTCCTGAGAGCAGGGAGAAAGGAGGGGCTGAGGGCTGGGGTGCCGAGAAAAGAGGGAGGCATAGCTTCCAGCCCCTCGGGGCCCTGGGATCTGGAATCCCAGTGGAGGTGCCTGACTCACTCTGCCGGCTCTGCGACTCCCCTCTCTCGGCTACGTCTCACGCTCTGCCTGCGGGGACCCCAGCTCTGCCGCCCAACCTCCTCAGACGCCCCTGTTCCAGGACCCCCTTGCTTGCACAGACAGAAAGGTGGGGAGTGTATTTAGCCCCAGGGGACAGGAAGGAGACAGGAAAAACTGAAAGAGGGCGGGAGCCAGTGAAAAGAGGCTGAAAGGGTGAGGCGGCCTACGGAGAGAGGGAGGGAGGGAGGGAGGAGCGGGGGGCGTGCGGGAAGGGATAGGGCTGCGGCCGCTCCCCTCCCCTCCCCTCCCATTCTCTCCCTGGACCTCGCCCACCCTACCCTCGCCCCGCGATCTGGAGCCTCGGGGGCTGGAGAAGGTGCGGGGTCTGGAGCCCCGAGTGCTAGAAGCACCGTCAGGCTGGAGTGGAGAGATGAGCTGGGGAGGGACCATTAGACAGGATGCGGCCGGTGCGCGGAAGCCCCAGCCCCAGGCCGTAAAGATGGAGACCGGGCCCAGGTGGAGGCCAGGATGGAGGGAGGAAGACTTGGGGCGGAGAAGAGGGAGTCGCGGAGTCCGGGAGCACCTGGGGGTCTGGAGGGAGGAGGGATGGAGGAGAGAAAGGAGGGGAGGTGGAGAGGTGAGGGAGGGGCGGCTCTGACCTGGGCCCTGGCAGCTCCAGCCCGCAGCTCCCGCGCTGGTTCCGGCGCCCGCCTCCATGACCGCTCCAGCCGCCGCCGCCGCCGCCGCTTCCCGGAGCAGAAGCCGCAGCCGCGAGCCCGGGGACCGGGAGCCGGGTGCGCAGGGAGGAGGGAGGGCGGGCGAGGGGGCGGGGCCTGGCCGGGCCTCCTGACGCCGCCCCCCGCTGCCCGCCGCCGCCCGGAAGCCCTCCCAGCACCCGGGAGCTCGGAGTGGGTGCAGGGGCGGCGCGGGAGGGTGAGCGCGACCCCAGATACCTCCCAAGGCTCTCCCCGAGGGAGCCCCGGGGGCTGCCGGGCCGGGACAGCGTCGGGAGCTCTTAGGCTTCAGGCTGTCCCAAGAGGGAGGGGTGAGACCCCCTGGTTCTGGCGGCGGGTCCCGCGGGGTCTGCTGTGCTCGGGGACCTTCCGCACCAGGTGTCAGGGCCCGGTCGTGCTCAGCAATGGGGACGGCAAAAGGCGAGGTGGGACTGTTTCCTCCAAACGCGCGGACACGCGCGCCCCTCCCTCCCCCACCCGGCTGGCGCCCCCACCTAGCAGTCCTCGCGGACCCCGGCCTCAGGTCCCGCCCAGCCCCGCCCGGGGGCCCCTCGGCAGCTTGGGGGCCGGGGAGGGAAGTCGAGGCCCGGATGGGCTAACGCAAGGCCCTGACCTCTCCGCTTTCCGCGCACCCTCCTCCCCCCAGCCAGGGCCGGAGACCCTCTTAGGAGGGGCCCTCCGGTGGCCCCACCAAGCCTCAGGGCCCGAAGAGGGGTCCCTCTCCTCCGCCCTGCCTTCCCTTCCGGTCCCACACCCGGTGGGCTGCGAGCCACACCCCCACTGTCACCCGCACGGAGTGGGCACGACTGATGGTCACTCTCTGGAAGGGATATTGGGAAGCCCAAGGGGCTGATTTCACGTGTTCAACCATTGGTTTATTCAAGGAATGCCTGCTGGGTTGATGCCGGCTCTCGAAGAGGCAGTTCTCACATCCTGGCAGGTCTCAGCAAGGATCACAGTGGGTACAGTTGGGAACAGGGGCTCCCCAGAACATCCAGGAAATATCTGGGAGATTCCTAAGCCAGGGACACACGCGGATCCCCTCTCTTGCACATCCACTCCCAGGTCGAGGGCTAGGATTGTCTGCGTTCCTCCCGCTGCCAGAAAGGTGTCCTGATCCAGACAGAGAGAGAGGGTTCTTGGATCTCGCGCAAGAAAGAATTCAGATCGAGTCCATAGAATAAAGTGAAAGCAAGTTTATTAGGAAAGTAAAATAATAAAGAATGGTAGGATGCAAGTTGCCCGTTTTTATGGTTATGTCTTGATGATATGCTAAACAAGGAGTGGATTATTCATGACTCCCCCTTTTAGACAATGTAGGGTAACTTTCTGATGTTGCCATGGCATTTGTAAACTGTCGTGGCGCGGGTAGGAGTATGGCAGTGAGGACGGCCAGAGGTCACTCTCATCGCCATCTTGGTTCTAATGGGCTTTGGCCGGCTTCCTTACTGCAAGCTGTTTTATTAGCAAGGTCTTTATGACCTGTGTCTTGTGCTGACCTCCTGTCTCATCCTGTGACTTAGAACTCCTTAAACGTCTGGGAATGCAGCCCAGTAGGTCTCAGACTCATTTTACCCAGCTCCTATTGAAGATGGAGTTGCTATGGTTCAAACGCCTCTGACACCCCACAGGCTTCCACGTCGGTCCACAAGCCATCCCTGTTCCACGGGAAGGAAGCCCTTTTTTGTCTGGACTCCCCTCCTTTCCTTCAGCCCTCAGCTGAGGGTCACCTCCAGGTGGCCTTCCCTGACTGGCACCCCATCCCTGCCCTGCTAGGTGCCCCTGTGGCGCTGGCCCCTCTCTGTCTCTCTGTGACAGCACCAGGCCCTTGGGGTTGTCTGGGCTCTGCTCAGTTTCTTGAAGGTTAGGGGGATCTTAGTTATCTTTGTATCTCCAGCATCTGACGGAGTTTCTGACACAGAATAAATGAGTTAAAGGTCGATCTCCCAGTTATCCAGTTAATGCCCTGTCTTATCATTTAAAATGATTTCACATTTGTGGCATTAATGTTGCCTATTAATGATCATGTTGCCTCTAAGTCTCTCTCCCTCCCCATGCCACCCTCCTTGCTCCATTTTTCTTCCGCTGTCTCTCTCATTATCCCAACGGAAAGATGATGAGCAGAGATCGAGGCTGTTTCCTTTGCTTTCCAGAGGACAGAATTCTACCCCAGATCCTGTGGCCAAGGTAACTCAGTTGTGGGGAAAGTTGAACACGCCCACCCAGACCCCATCTGCAGATGCTTTACTGTCCAGATTTAGGGACCAGAGCATTTCTCAGGGATGGGAGAAAGGGGCTGCACGGGGGGCTTGGGGGATGCAGACCTCTGGGAACTGACAGACTAGTTCTGGAAGCTCACTCGCTGTTCTTTCTTCGCAGAGCAGCTCCTGGTTCTGCCTCAGCCAGCAGGGTCAGGTTAGCAGTTGGCCTTGACTGCTGACCTCTGGGTGAATGGAGGGAGGCACAGCAGGGAAGTTGTTGATGGTGACATCTAGGGTTCAAGCTCTGCTCAGGGAGCTCTGATCCTGAGTATTAGGACTAATCTCTCCCTGGCTTCCTGGCATGCAGGTCACCATTCACCCTTGATTTGGGAGAACATTCAAGGCGGACCTGAACCAGTCTATTTTCAGGAGCCAAACCCTGGCCAGACCAGTACTGGGTTGAAGGTGGAGGGGGGCAGTTAAAGGGCGGGAGAAAAGAGCTTAAGAGATACGAGGGAGGTAGGCTGTGGTCCAGAAATGCATCTCTGAGGGGCCAGGAGTGGTGGGCGTGTCAGCCAGGTGATCAGCCTAGGGGGATGATCTGAATTAATCCCTGTAATCCCCGGACTCAGGGCTCAACCTCGCTCCTAATCCCATCCCAGGAGATCATCCTCTTTGAGGACTGATGTAGCCATTTATCCCCCTTTACCCTTATTTCTAAATGCCTAGATCCTTCCATTAAAAAGAAAAAAAAAAATGAGTATTTGAAACATGCAGAAAAGTATAGTACAGAGAATAACCTAACAAATAACCATGCGCACAGAACTGAAATCCAACAACCATTCAAATCTTGCCACATTTGATTCGAGGAAGCCCTCTATTTATGTTTTCCAGTCTTACTTGTATGTATGTTTTACCTTTTATGAATGTATCTGCAAACAATGCATAATTGCAAATTGTGTGTTTTAGAAATTTGTCTAAATAGTGGTACATTGTACTCATTCTTTTTTTTTCTGCCCCCCCCCACATTGCACTCATTCTTCTGCAAACTCTTTCTTTTTCTTTTCCCCCCATTTATCCATATTGTTTCATGTAGCTCCAGTTTATGAATTTTAACTACTGAATACTGTTTCATTGCTTGAATACACTGCAATTTATTTAACCATTCTTTTGCTAATTGGCAATGCAGCGATTCACAGTTTTCCATGTTAAAAACAATGTTGCACTTGACAATTTCATACATTCTCCTAGGATGGATACCTAGAAGTGGAATTTCTGGGTCACAGAGTAGGTGAATCTTAAATGTCATTAGCCATTGCCAAACTGCTCTATAATGTAGTTAGACCAATTTAAACACCACTAACAGTGGCTTTATTTATTTGTCCCCTGGCCCCCACTGATTTGGAAGTTATACATTCTATTTCTACTCTGTTAGTGATTACCTCTTTATAGATTTCTAAACATTCTTTCTTAAGTGAATCAGTATCACCATACTTTTTCTGAATAATAGAAAGATCTTAGAACATGTTAACTCTGCTCTTCTTTCCCTGCCACCTCCCATATTTCTATCTAGTATTTTAGTTTCCCCTTCTTTCTAACCCCTGTAAGCATCACCAGCACCATTATCACCACCACCACCATTTTTATCATCATCATCTGTCTCAATGCTTGCTTAGATCTGCTAACATATTTATAAATTTCTCTGTTTACCATTCCTTCTTATTTCAGTTTACCTCTTATAAAATATACCCTTTTGTGGTATTTTAGTGTAAGTCTTTGAGGGATTAGCATTCCCAGTTAATGTCTTAAAATGTCTTTATCTCATGCCCTTTTGATGGAAATTTAGTAGGCATCAAATTCTAGGTGACAGTTGTTTTCTCTTAGCCTTTCGAAGATATTTTCCCCTATAATCTTTTGCTGCTAATAAGTGACAAAGTTCTTTTCTGTAATTTAAAAAAATAAATCTCTTTTATTTTTATTTTTTATTTTTATTTTTATTTTTTTGAGAAGGAGTCTTGCTCTGTTGCCCCAAACTGGAGTGCATGATCTCAGCTCACTGCAACCTCTGCCTCCCGGGTTCAAGCAAGTCTTCAGTCTCAGCCTCCCGGGTAGCTGAGATTACAGTTCGGTGCCCCTACAACTGGCTAATTTTTGTATTTTTAGTTGAGATGGGGTTTCACCATGTTGGCCAGGCTGGTCTCAAACTCCTGACCTCAGCTGATCCGCTCACCTCGGCCTCCCAAAGTGCTGGGTTTACAGGTGTGAGCCATGGCACCTGGCAGAAAAAACGTCTTTTCTATAATCTTTTGATTTCTATCCTTTCTCCCCCACCCCTCCAAAATCAATCTCCAGTTGCTAGAAGTGAGCTGCAAATTCAATTTTTATCTTTGTAGGCAAGCAGGCATTTTTATTTCTGGCTGTTTTAAGATTTTTCTCAGGTGTGGGGGCTCATGCCTGTAATTCTAGTGCCTTGGGAAGATGGCTTAAGCCCAGGAGTTTGAGATCAGCCTGTGTGACATGACAAGACTCTGTCTCTATAAAAATAAAAAATAACTCCAGCCTGGGTGACAGAGCAAGACCGCATCTCAAAATAAATAATTAGTTGGGATGATGACACATACCTGTAGTTCTACCTACCTGGGAGGCTGAGGTGGAGGGATTGCTTGGGCCTAGGAGTTTGAGGCTGCAGTGAGCTATGATCACACCACTGCACTCCAGCCTGGACAATAGAGTAAGACCCTGTCTCAAAAGAAAAAAAAAAAAAAAAAAAAAAAAAAGACTTCTCTTTCTTCAATATTCTGTAGTTTCACCACAGTATGTTTAAGAGCTCAGGACTCTTCAACCTGACGACTGTGTCTTTCTTCCATTGAAATTC